TAAACTATACGAAACTTTAAAACCTCTCACTTTAACTCTGTTTCCTTGTCATTTTGAAGAAATAAAATTGATTTCCTCAATTCACTATATTTTCTAGATACTTTAAACAAAATTTAAAATGACAAAGTTTTTGTGTTACTTTAAATAAAATATAAATTAAAAACTTTTAAAATCACTATTTCTTTCAGTTATTTAAAAAATTTTAACTGTTTCTTTCTCATCTAGACCCAAATCCCACTGCTGAATGTTCAATCACGAGATGAAGGGTAGATTTTCAATCCTGGGATCATACCGATTACAAAAAAGGTATATGTCTATGTACAGCAAGTGTGGCTCGTGTTAGAAGAGTTTCAAACACAAAGACGGACTGATTTGCTGTTTATTTATTTAGATAGATGTAGATTGATATATTTTTACTATTCGATTTAATTTGTGAACAACTGTACAGCAGAACCAATGTAATGGATTAGAGAGGCATTTAGAAATAGTGCAAGTGCGTGTTGGAGATGGTTTGCAAAGTTTAAATAAAAAAAAAACGTTTTGTAGTCGAGAACAAAGAACACTTTAGAAGACCTCGGAACTTGAAGTAGAAACGCATTTGAAAGAAAATGTAGAAAAAGCAATCATCGAAAAAAAAAGCAGGTGAATTATTCAAATGTAGTACATCGTTTTTAAACTGAAGCAACACTTGTCCAACAAAAGAAGTTATTTATAGACAAGATAGTCACTGGCATTGAAAAATGGATTTATTACAAGTCCAAAAAATAATAATTGACAGTGCTTCATTATTTGATGATATTATTTGCAAGTGTAGACTTTTGAAACAGCGTAATTTACGATGTGCAATTCCAGGAGACTCTCGAAAAATTCGAAAGCAAGAAAATAAGTTCCATAAATGGTATTTCTCAACAACAAGAAAAAGTGAATGATGCACAAAATAGTCACTGGCAACGAAAAAGATGTATTACGAGAGTGTACAAAACAGAAAATCGATGCTAGATTACCAGCAGCCATCTATATCACAACTTAAACAGAATCTACACGAAGATAAAAGTTATGTTCTGTGTTTGTCGGAATTAAAAAAAGAATTCCTTATTGCCAGTTGTCGGAATAAAGTGTTACTGCGCAACGCTACGGGGAGTAATTGGCTTGTTTGAAATTCGCTTTGGAATAAAAATGCTGAAAGATAACACTCCCCTGTATGTTGCAAATGAGTGTAAATATACATTACACATACCAGACAATGTTGAAAAGTTCTCGTTCAGACCAAGAAAGGACTTTCCCTTCACACACCAAAATTCAGATATTTGCTTAGATTTTGGAGAAACAGCCCGATAGTTTTTCAGAACTCACACATATGTATGTTCCTACCCGACTCTCTTGAGAGGTACTTTGCGTTTTTTTTTCTCTGGAAGATGCTAGTTAGTGCCATTAAGCTCTCATGTAGATAAATGGGTCACAGCTTCACCAAATTAGTTGTTTCTGTAGCAAGAATTTTTTTTGTTTGATTCACGCTCAACTGGTTTTGAGTTCAGAGTATTCGTTTTCTTAGACTCACTTCCAACCAAGAACGGAGAGTTCAGTCTGCTATACTATTTAACCCATAACTAAGGTGGGAGAAAAGTTGGATTCATAATCTTTCTCTATGAGAAAGTGAATGCAAAGAAACGCAAACTGAATTTGAATTTGGCACGACTATTACATTCTGCGAGTCGATAATTACGCACATTCCTTTCTATATAATTTCGGGCCTAATTTATCGCTGACTTATTTTACACTTCAAGAGAAACGATATCGCCAGATCAGCCACATGTTTATCTGTAGGTATTTGGTAAACAGTAGTTTTTTTTCACGCAATTTTAATTATTAAAATCACCATGTGGTTCTGTTATATCAAGGTGAGCGTTAGTGTCCCACCCCAGACGGATCGGTGAGTGTTCAGGAGCAATCTGAGTTGCGGGGAGCGTTGTAATTTTAAAAGAGCAGTAAAATCATTTAACAATTTATTTGGGCGAGGGATACATGGGAGAAAAAAAATCAAGAATTATTGTATTAAATTTTATTCTTTATCATTATTACATATTTTATGCTATAATTTTCAGTAAATAGTAAATGTCACAGTGACAGGACCCAAAGAGTGTGAGTTCAATACCCGGTTAAGGCAGTGGAGAACTTTCGGAGGGAAATTAGCAGGAGATAACTGATAACTGACATCCATTACACATGGCACATGGAACTAGAACAGTGATCGAAATAAAGGGTTCAGTTCGAAATTCCAACCACCTGAAGAATGCCGGAGCGTACAGCGGCCGAAACGTTGTGATAAATATGGCGACATGGATGAGGACAATAGTCCGAATAATGTAAATAGTGTGCGAATTTAAAAATATATAATGGCGGCAATTTACCCATCGCACCCTGTATATCTATCGTGTGTGTAAGTGCACATGCAGAGTGCAAGACCTGTTCGCAAGCACTTGACGGAGGGATAGCAATAAAACATATTTGGACACTCCTTATCGTAGTAGTTACTTATTAAGTATATTAGCTTATCAGGTGCTTGTATCCTTGTGCCAAGTCAAGATAATAAGTGTAGAAGCCCCCCCAACTCCCCGTGACAGGACTACAATTTAGATTGTCTCTGTATGTAGTAATCGTAAGAGAGGCTAGTGTCAGAAACTATTGTAATTGAAAGTGATCTAGTAATGGTTTGACGTACTTACGATTGCTACATACAGCGGCAATGTGAAATGGTAGATTTTACTTACAAGCAAGTCAATCCGAAAAGCGCCATGGCTCTGAAAAGTCCGATGTTTCTTTATTATGAAATCACTACACTTGTTATACAATACATTATATAATGTGCATACAGTTTTGAGATTGAATATGCAAACCGGTTACATCCATCATATCTTACATGCCAAGTCTGATTGCGTGGCAAATAATTTTAACTTAAAAGACGTATCCTTATTATAATTCTGCTTGACACTCTCTTCTTTAGTTAGATAGTTCGCACGACCGTTACGTCCTCCTAATACCTTATAAAGTATGGGACATTCTGTTTTAATCACGGAAATGATATAGCCGTTTTCCAAGTGTAGATTAGATGTGGCACAAGGCCGAAAATAGGAGGCACCCAGTGAGGATAGAACTCACTACTCAGCCGTAATTGTTCTAGCGAGACAAGCTTGTTAACCATTACACCGCCTGGAGGTGTCCAACACGGTTATGTTATATCAGAGACGTTACTTGGTTTCAATGAGAAAATGAAGGAAAGAAGCGAAGATAGATATGTTTAAAGGCTGTTTCAGTGAAATAGAAAAAGTTTTCAATCTTTTCATTTGTACCCCCTTACTACTTAAAATAACGACCAGCATTCATATGTTTGGCTATTATTGCAATATTTTGTTAAGCTCAATTATTTAACGACGCGATAGGGAAACGTCTACGGATTGTCGTAGACCTTCCCATGAAACTATTCAATAATTAATTTAAGAATTAAAATTCATCAGAATATTAAAATAGGAAAACCATGAAATTTCACTAGTCTTTCTTGTCCTATTTAACGTATGAACTCTCCTCGACTATCTGCATTTACAATTAGTATGAAGTGAGTCAATGGACAACTATAGGTAGTCTACCAGATAGATCAATTTCATTTCTCAGAATCGGGATATATTACTTCATCGATTTTTCTTTAATTATTTTTCTCTTTAGAAAAGGGGAGGGGTTGATATTTCGGCAGACAAAGTAACTCCGAAAAGGTTATCTAAGAAAGCGGTTATAAAAAGTTCTCTGTTTGACCACAGGGATTCCAAAATAGATATTTGGTCAGATTTTTGGAAGAGTCCGAGCCAAGAACTTTTCAGCATCCACCCAATATTATGATATCATTGCTTAGGGTTACAAATGATAGGAAGTTGTGGAAAACCATTATCGCCCAGATCCTGAAAGAACACTGAACACAAAAGAATCCGCAACACCGTGAAAAATAGGATTGTTTACGTATGGGTCGGAACTTTTGCCTAGGACAAAGGTATCTGGGCACCCTGAGAAAGTGTTACCCACACGTACACGTCTTTTTATTTGTTTTGCTTTTTGATCAGTTGGTTAAACATTTTCATTTATATGTATGGATAACATTACCGAGAAACATGTTTTCGGAGTTACTTTCCTTTATGTTTTTAAATTATCTGACAAGTTATTTCTTTCGGCATTCTCCAATTACGAAAATTGATTGAAACATATCCTTGCAAATCAATTTCATTGTTCAAATTATAACCAGAAAAATATATCCCTTTCGTGAATTTAAACATATTCATTGAATAGAATTGCCCCTTTTTTATGACGCAACATGCTTCCAACCACTAATGGCTGGACAATTAATATATGGCGTCCGATGGTTTCGAAAGACCGTGGATCCGCGCCTGAAGACTTATGCTCTCATCAGTGAGAGATTGCCGATCTCTCACTTATGAGGGCATATTCAGTTGTCCAGGCAGAACGTCTCCCTCTTCCCACGCTACCGATGTTGTCAAAGGGAAAGGCAGAAGCCAATACAGCTTGGCGCAGGAGTTAACAAAACCTTAACTTGAACGAGGCCAGTACGCTCACACCCTCGGTTACGTTGGCTAGCGCATCCATCGACTGCTTCCGGACAGTTCCGTCTACCTAATTTCACTCAGAAGGTTTGGGTCAACACGCGGTATGGGTTTCTAGGCATTTTCCAAAGATGCTGCACGTTGGGATCGCCTCCCTCTGGCCGATAAGACGTTACCTGGCAAATCAGGCAAGGTGAAATTAGCATCCGGGTATCATTGTCAGAAACCATCGACGCACACCTACATAAATTAGAACACATATAGGAACGGACAGAATGTGATAAGTAGGTTGCTATTTTTTAATTGTTTCTTTGGGTGGAGGCACAGTGGTGTTATTTACCATCAAGTAGTATTTGTTTTATGCACACATTAAAGCAAAAAAAAAAAAAAAAAAAGTAGATATGCAAGAGAATTTTTTTTCATTCTACTCTGTTTTTATTCCGCTATTTTCTTTTTTTCATACCGCTTTTCTCCTTTTTATTCCGCTCTTTTTTTTATTCTGCTTTTCTTTTTCTTTTATTCCGCTCTTCTCTTTTTTTATTCCTCTCGTTTTTTCCATTCCACTTTTCTCTTTTTATTTTCATTCCGCTCTTCTCTTTTTTTTTTTATTCTGCTCATTTTTTCATTCCACCCTTTTTTATTCTGCTATTCTCGTTCCGCTCATCTCTTTTTTCATTCCGCTCATTTTTCATTCCGCTCTTCTCTCTTTTTTTTTCTTCTGGTCTTCTCTTTCTTTTTTTCATTCCGCTCTTCTCCTTTTTTATTCTGCTCATTTTTTCATTCCGCCCTTTTTTATTCTGCTATTCTCGTTCCGCTCTTCTCTTTTTTTTATTCTGCTCTTTTTTTCTTTTCTTCTGGTCTTCTTTTTTTATTATTTTTTTTATTCTGCTCTTCTCGTTTTTCATTCTGAACTGAATCTCAAACCGAACCTTATGACACGTGGCTATGTGGATAAAAGCATTGTTTGAATGATCCAAACGTAATTTGACCCAAGAGAGTTGCGAGTTCAATGACTGACCGCAGAAGAGAGAAACAAAATTGCAGTGTTGAGTAATGTCAAAATAACTGAAACTGAGAAATCCAAAAGCATTACACATGAAATTAGAACAATCTACCCCCATGAACTAAATAAAGGTTTCGATTCGAGATTCCAACGGATATTACCTGCTAGAAGATGGAGCGTATAACGGGCGAAACATCGTGAATATAACAATAATGAGGATAACAGTCCGGAAAATGTAATTAAATATTTTTTTTATGTGTGCATACTGTATAGGCGCTGTACTTTTTTTTTTAACTCGCACACTCACTTACTAGAAAAAAAAATCACTGTTAATAACTAATTCTTAACTTGTCCCCCTGTCTACAACGACAATGTAAAAGGTCTTTGTTTAATCATTTTCATTCTGTAGCTGAACAGCATTTAAGACGAGGTACTTCTAGATTACTCGATGCAGGTTCAAGTCTTATTAGAGGCCACTTCTTTATTTCTAAGTTATTCTATTTACTGGTCATTGTTTGTCAAAACCTGAGTGTTGTGATAAAAAAGTAGCAATATGAAATGATAAACGATTTAGGAATTAGTAACGAAAAGTTTTCATCTAAGAATTTATGATAACCTAAAACTATGATATAAGGTTCTTATCAGCAATAATCTATATTATAAAAGCTGCGTGTGATTTTTGCATACGCGTAATTATATATATATATTGGGTGCTCCAATAACTTGGACCGATTTTAAATGTGAATTAAGTTTAAGTGTCTAATGACTTTTTTCTTTTTCTTTCAGATTTAACAACTTAAGTCTTTGGCAATTTCAACCATGGAAAGATTAACAATCAAACAAGGTATCAAAACAAATCAAAACATCAAAGCCTATTGCGAAAATGGACGTTCAAACAGAAATGCATTTCGCGCACTTTGCGATTTTTTGGGGTCAACATAATCGACCGACCGAGAGTGCAATTTTAAAAAATTGTTCGTAAATTCAAACAAACCGGGTTGATGGCAGGTGTGAAAGCACCATTGCGTGCTCATTTACGCCGTTCGGCTGAAAATATTGCTGCACTGCACGAGAATGTGGCCGAAAATCCAGCACCCCTATTCGTCAGCGCGCGCTGAAACTGAACCTCTCCACAACAACCTTACATCGAATTTTGACAAAAGATTTATCTCTACAAGTTTACAAAATTCAATTGACACAAGAACTGAAACCTGTTGACCATTTGGAGCGCCGTACATTCGTCAATTGGGTGCATGAGCAAAGACAAGCCGATGAAGATTTTTCGCAAAAAATCCTCTTTAGTGATGAAGCCCATTTTCATCTTGGTAGATTCGTTAATAATCTCCGCAGGATGTAGGCGATTATGGCTCTCCACAATTTCCTGTCCTTTGTAGTTATGGAATTTGGGTTGATGAAAATCTAAGAAAGATTGTTGAATAGCCATTGCATCCACAGGTCACTTTTCGGTATGCATTTTTTGCTAGCGGAATCATTGGGTCGCATATTTATAAATTTGAACGTCCATTTTTCGTAATAGGCTTCGATAGTTTTAACACGTTGTTTGATTGGCAATTTCAACCATGGAAAGATCAACAAAGACTTAAGTTGTTAAATCTGAAAGAAAAAGATTAAAATTATTAAACGCTCAAACTTAATTCACATTTAAAATCGACCCAAGTTATAGGAACATCCTATATTAGTGTGGTGCGTGAGTGACTTACATATGTTTGCACCATTTGATATGCATGCACACACATCCACCCAATTTCACGCAGTTGGAAATAATAAATCCCGCTCCAGACAACCTCTACTCTGGGTTGAGCAATAAAATGATAATGTTAAAGAGACGAAAAGAAAATGTTTAAACCTGAAAAGTATTATAATTATAAGATTATATTGAACTTTTCGGTAATTGTTCTTTAATAAATAGGATTATTTAAAAAAAAATAATTTTGTAGAAATATTTTTAGCTCTGTCACTAAATCAAAATATACAAAAAACACAATCTGAATGAAATTGAAATAGACATTGATGTCAAGAAAACTAATTTCACTTTGTGTCTAGTAAACAAGTAAACAACCAGTGGATAATAAGAGTAATAGTCAAAATGCGCGACCTTTCGATGTCTTTTTATAACACTTGTAGTTAAAATAAACATTCTTCTTTATGTGCTGGATCTCCGCAGAATGTAGGCGATCATGGCTCTCCACAATTTCCTGTCCTTTGTAGTTCTTAATTTTTGTCATTTCTCCTAAACCCTGTTCCGCTAACCATTTACTAAAGTTCACTAAGTATGTTATGCGTTGCCTTGTCCTGTGAGTATCAGATTTTCCAAGCCCTCTTTCCTCATTATGCGCACTAGAAATTTCAATTGTTTCTTCCTGATGTTAAGTATAAGTGCCCCTTTTTGCTTATATTTTCTCTAAAACTTCGTCGTTGCTTACATATTCGGATGATGGCATCCTCAGTATCCTTCTGTAGAACCATATTTCTGTTACTTCTTCATCTTTGAGGAAATTTTCCAACATTTACTGCCATATAGGAGGGCTGATATCACGTAACAGTTCAGTTCTCTTTTCTTTTAAATGGACAAGTAATTTAGATTTGAAATTTGATCTTCATTCCATCGGCGAGGCGACAAGGCACCGAACAAGTTAATTCTAATCTCTATCTATAAAAGGCTGTGTGTGTGTGTGTGTAACGAATGCACGGCCGCAATTTTCGACAGATTTGCATCAAAATTTACATGCACCTGGTCCAAGTTAGTGGAAAGGCCAAGACCGACGTTGCATTTCCCAACTCCCATCGACAGTGGAAATAATAGATTTTTTCATGCTTCTACGGTAGTTTTCATGTAGTTTGAGGCCATTTTGTACTGGCCAGCGTGAGAGCCAACAGCTGACTGACACGAATGTTAACTAGCATGCTAGCATGAAAAAAAAAAATCGATAGCTGCATTCGTCACAAATAGGAAAAATTTAAATCTGCATGGCACTTTACTCCAATTGGCTCATTCGCTTGCTTAAACTCAACGTTGATTCTGATTCCGCAGAACTGGGTTGGGTGTGAAAAAAGTATTTGTTGTTAACATTCTTTTTCATTTGGTTTTTCAGTTATGAGTTCTTTTTTAAAGCTGATCATTTTGTGTTCATTTTGTTTAGTTCTTTTTCGTAACAGATTTAATGTTTTAGTATAGAGCTTAGAAAAAATTCGCAGTGTGAGATAGGCAAGAAGTAAGGCATGTAGCGACATCAGCACGGAAAAGGGCATTCCTTTAAAGGCAAGGAAGGGCAAAAATATTTTAAGTCAAGTGATAGCGATTGCTGTATGAGTCGTACGATTTTTGAATCAAGCACCGGCAACGCCGGGCCATGCTGCTAGTATATAAATATAAATGAATTAATAAATCTAATGAATTAATAGTTTCTATTTTCCCAAGACGTAACTTTTAAAATTGGCAATAATTATAATTAGAACCAATTTAGTTTCTCATCACACACACAGATCGTATCTGTTTTTTAAAAAGAGATATTAAAAACGTGATTCAACCACTGAAGTTAAACTTTTACATGTTTCTCTTGCAGTGATGTAATTAATTTTTGCTCTCTTTTTAAACTTGTCGAAATGTCTTTTTTTGATTTGTTTCTTTTTTATTACTTGTTATCAGCCACTCCTGTGAGTTACTTTAGATTTAACATCAATCATCCGTTGCTTTTTTTTTTTTTTTTTTACATGTCTTTTGTTCTATTTTTATAGCATTACACGTATTAAAATATTTCTTACTATTGTCGTTGGTTGTGGTTAGTTAGTCTCTTCTACGCGAGACTGGTCTGTCAAGATTTGACATCTTGTCTTTCACGGCTTTACAATTGGTAATGGGAGTTATCTGGTAGTGCTTAAGAAATACACCATAATATTTTGTGGCAGGTCAGTGACAAGCCCTTCAACAAGAAGTACATTGATCGGAATGATGCATGATTCTGACTCGTTTCCTCCTTTAGAAACTCATCAGACTAAAGTGATATTTCTGTTAATGTGACTACACATGTGCGCGAAAGGGAGGAAATGGTGAAATTTTAAATATTGAAAATTTGATATATGATGTCGGTTGTTGATCTGCTTATGTTTCATTATTAAAAGTTCGAAGTAGATGATCCGGTGCTGATTTGAACAAGGTATAATTTGGTCGAAGGTTCAGTCCGATATTACTTGCTTTGTAGAAAGTTCTTTATTTCATTTTACCCCAGCTCTTTTATACTACAGTGGATTTAAGGTATTCATGAATATTTTTTTTTATTCTATATCTTGCTAACACGCACATATATAAGAGAGATCGATGAAATCGATTATATTACTGATGATCGATTATTGACAGATGCAAAAGTAGGTATACAGTAATGAATAACTAAGTACGCAAAAAATGTATTGATTATACAAACACTATTGTAATTATGGTATAACTTACTGTATAACTATTTTGCAGCCCCTCCTTGTATATTGTGGCCATATCTGCGTTGGAGATATGGAAATCAATGACAAGTCCTTCAACTAAGTGATCGGCATGATTCTGCCAAGTAAACAGTCGCGGTCAAAATTTTAACAATCGCGCACCGGTTTCGTTAATCAAGAGAATAGCACTTAATCGTTATTTACTTGGTGTATATTAATATGGCAGAAGATCTTTTCACAGCAGAAAATTGTTTCGCGAGACTAGCTTGCTTATGAACGCGCTAGTCTTAGTGTTAAGACCTCTGATCAGAAGATTGGAAGTTTGGAGAAGCGTGGAACCATCTCTCAATTGCTGC